GGGTGCGTAAAAAAAGGAAAGTCCTCTCCTTTTTTTTTTTTTTTTTTTGGCACAACATAATAGAACATGTCAAAAATGGAATGGAAAGTGTAAAGGGAAAAAAATATATGCATAGAAGTTTGTCCACGCAGGAGATGAGGATTTAAAAAAAAAAAATGGAATTGAAGTCAACGGAGGTTGAAATTGCACATAAACAGTCCTGTTGACAGTTTAGGTCTTATTTTGGTGGGAACGGACCCTTAATACGTACTGTCTGCTGTCCTGCTCTGCATGTGTCATACCCGACCCCATATACAAACACTCACCTGGTTCAGTACCATACCTGCCAACACCCAGACTGCTCATAGGGAACTGCACGGCCACCTGGGGGTGGTGATTAGGCTGTGTGTACTGCACTTTCTTTATATTTAGTCTGTCTTGGGGATCATAGCAGTTGGGGATTTTATAAGACTACTATCTATTCAGAGTAATTTGGGGCCTACGGGATTTGGTTTAACTTGCTACCTCGTACTGCTACTGCTGCTTTTTTTTTTTTTAAATAGCCTAGTGATGTACATGTGGTAGGAACCTTTCTCTTCCACCATAATTCCCATTTACACTTTTTACTGGTGCACACTTAATTTGCATGCCTCAGGCAGTACTCTGACCAGTACTCTGCCTGCATCCAATCAGATTGTTCAGGTATTTTGAGAGCCAGTGGGGCTGACTAGCAAGATACTGAAGCTTGGCCCAGGGGGGAGATTCCTCCATCCACACAGTTTATCGTAGATGGAGGAATCTGTTGCACTTTTTCCATCTGACCACAGAAAATCTGCAGATAATCTATAGGTGGATGGCCAGTTTATGGAAATATCTCTCTACGAGATGTGGTACATGCTGTGCAGGTTTACCTCTTAGCTGCGTGTTCAATTAGGCAAACTAATTCATTGTCATTCCTGAGGGACCCCGTGGGGGTCTATCTGCCTCTTGATTCACCATCTCCAGGTGGATGAGACAAATCATCATTCAAGGCTGAAGGGGAAGGTTCCTCCTTTCCCAGTCAAAGCACACTCTGCTAGATCAGCGCTTCTTGAACCTATCCCATCAAGCATCTGTTTCTCTGATATGCAAGGCTGTCACTTGGTCTTCTGTTCACAAGTTTAAGTTTTAACAGGTACTACCGGTATAGATGTTCAGGCCTCATCCAATGTCAACTTCGGTTGTAACGTTCTTCAGGCAGCTCTTTTAGCCTGTTGGCCTTTTCATTTGCTGTGTTGCCCTCCCCTCATTTGTAATGCTTGGGGATGTCTGTACATTCCTGAATACCATTCTGTGTCCTGTAATGTAGAATACAAAAAATAGGATTTATGCCTTAACTGTGAAATCCTTTTCTTGAAGTACATTGCAGGACAGTCCCTGCCCCTGTTTTTATTTTTTCCCCCCCCCTCGTTATGATCTCTTCATGAGGCTTGCTGGAAGTGGGAGGGGTTATGCAGATGTAGTGTCTGATCTCCTGAAGGGGGCAGCATTAATCCTACACACTGAAGGACACAGTGGAGATCTTGAATATCTTTTAACAATGGGTTATAGTGCCATCTTCAAGCCAACAAAACACTTTTCTCTTCTGCTTATTGAAGGACAGTGGAAATCTTGATCTCTTACTGATGGGTTATAGTGCTACCTTCAGAAGTAGTACACTGGGACAAAAGCACAGCCTAGGGGTGGCCCTTGATCATGGCCAACTCCCCAAACTGCTAGAATTAGCTCAGCTTTTTGCCCAGGAGTGAGGACCTAAGCTCCCTGCTGGGAATCTTAGTTCCCTTTCTTTTTCCTCAGGCCTCAAAACCTTCAAGCAACAGCTAAACTGGGTGACAAGCAAGATAATATACATCCTTGTAGTCTCCCCATGCATGCAGATAATCGGCTACATGTGGGATTGGCAACAGCCATTACTGAATTTAAGGGCAGCCTGTAAGATACCCCCCCTTCTGCTCCCCTGTGTGTATGTAACCATGTGGTGCTTAGTGCTGTACACCATCAGCAGGGGACATATGGCTGGTGGTCCCAAACAACAAGTTAGTGTCCCTGGGTGAGTGGGCAGGCCTGATGCCGACTGAGGTCAGGTTGTCCATTAATTGGTCACCATGTTTGCCTAGGGATGCTGTCCTTACAAAACATCACTTCAATGCTCATGTTCGAAGTGGGCTTGCTAACCCATAGCTGAGGCTGTGGCATACAGAGCCAGAAGCTGTGCTGCCGTGTTTTGCCTAGGGCTTAATTATTAGCCCTCCCATGGGTGCATGTGCCTGCAGTTGGCCATCCGCTCATGGAGGCAACAGGTTGCAGCCAACAGTCCCAGAAGCTGCTGCCCCCATGCTTGCTTAGGTCTGTTGCCTTTATCCTTGTCTGTTGCGAATGATCTGCAGAGGATCTT